AAATTTCAAAGTTGGCAGACCATTTTAGGAAGTGCAGGAAATTCAATGACCAAACTCATAGTTTAACCATTTTTTTTTTAGGAGAAAATTACAAACTCTCTCCTCCGATCAGTTTCCAAAAAATGTTCCCCTTTCCGCTTCCCTTAAACCTTTCTTTGAACTCCAATCTACGCACCATTCGGCCATACCGTTCGATGAATCGTAACCACCATCGTGTTCGTTGTTGACCGATTAACAAAACCCCTCAAACGTTTCGTTATGAATCGACGTCATTCGTCGTTAATTTCAATCGGAAGTATCATCGGTTTTAACTTACTTTTTGTTGGTTTTCTGTCGATTCACGTCAATCCGACCACCCATTTTCAACACCTACTGCACCATCGTGTTCCTTGCATCATTCCAAGTCCACCGATGTCCTCCGTTTCTCTATCGTCGGCGGTGCGTGTAGGGTTGAGAAAGTTAAGGTTTCCAATGTTTTGGAATCGAACTCTCCGCTGTTCAAAATTTTGAACCGAGCTTGGTAAGTGTCAAAAAATGCATGAAAAAATTTTTAGAATTTTTTTTAGGATTTTTAGGGGCTTCAGGAACGTCGCGTTCGCCCCCACATACTGTCCCTACGCGTAGGGGAGGCTTAAAAATAGTAGGGGTAGTTCTTGATCCGATTTGACTGGTCCGACCCGACCTGTTGACCGACTCGTTGACTGACCGTTGACCGACACTTTGACTGACCGTTGACTGACCGTTGACCGTTAACCGTGCTGACCGTCGTTGACCACTGTTGACCAGAACTTTGACCGGTATTGACCGGCCGTTGACTTTTTCCGGATATACCTATCTTGGCGTTGATTGAGGTCCTGAGTCCATTTTTGGGTCAGTTTCTCCAAATTCAAACCCGATAAGTCATTTTTCACTGATTTATCATCTGATTTGATTCATTTTTTGAAATTAAGCCCCATGTTTGATGAAATTTATATTGTTATGTATTTGAGGAATTATTGGAAGTTGAATTAAGGATCAAGGGCGTTCGAATGGAATTTAATGGTCGATCAATATGCACGGAAATCGAGGTAATACATTATTACCTCATTATGCTTTATAAAACATGTTGATAATGGATAAATGCATGGATATAAATATGATTAGTCTATTATGCCTGTTTGATTATGGATGGATTCGAACCGAATACGATTTAAGTGATAAATTATTATAATACTTCGATTAGATAAAATTACAAAAATACATTATGTTGTAAAAAAGATAAGAATTGACTCTGGAAGTTGGATAAGAATTTTTAAAGACATATTGATTAGATGAAACTAGTGATATGTATAGAACATACTAGCTTTGCTTAGAAAATCTAGATAACTTATTTCTAAACCCAATATGACTGGTACAAATTACTAGAAGTTTGATAAGAAATAATTTCAAGTTCAGAGATTATATGGGAAAACAATTAACCCTAGGATCTCCAAATTATATTATCCTTGTTAAGAGTTTAACACCGAAATTATCTAGTTATAAAATTACAAAAATGCCCTTGAGAGGTAAAAATAGTCCTAATTGACCCTGAATGAGAAAGTACCCTGAGATTTCATACCTAACTTGATAAATTACGGATTTAATTCTTAAGATCCTGTCTTTGTATAGAAAATTCCTGGTAAACTGTTGTAATATCTAAGAAGGAACTTGACCCAAAAATCTCTGAGTTATGAATAAATACCTGAATAATAATTTATCGAGTGTGATATTTTGTCATAATAGTTCGAAAGGACTAACATAATGATAAGCTTCAGTTTAATAATAAGATTGGTCCTAATGAATTATTGTAATACCCCTGGAATAGAAATGACCAAGAATATCACCAAACTCAGGAATGATTGGATATCCTCGAGCTCTGAAATTAATGGAAAAAAATTGAACACTAGAATAACCAAAATACCCTTATGGCCTAGACTAAGTAGATGTTTTGGATTAATTAAGGAATCCAAGTAAATATGGGTGTTGTACTACCCTTAAAAGTTATGGAACACAACTTAAGTGAGCCGATCAACCTTAATGATATAGATATTACTTGAACGACATAGATATTACTTGAATGCGTGTTCGTCTTCTCAAGTTTGGCTCGATGATAATTTTGGAAGTATTCAGCTCAGATCAATTATAGATCGCATTCAGTACTAAGAATTTGATATTTGTTCGAAAAGTCAACCACGAATACCGAACTGAACTGAACGGGATTACAATATGTATCCGAAATTCAGAAGATGTCTGAATTACTCTGGAAAACTCTGAAGTAACTGGGATAGACTTGATTGTTAAATGAAATAAGTAACCTCAATGACTGAGGATTAAATACGTGATTTGGATGAGTCTGGAAACGTTAATGAACATACATGATGTAATGTTCTTATGGGTCATGAACTATAAATCAAGCATGTCAGCATTTCATGATATCGTGGAAGAGTGGAAATGAAAAAAAAAAGCATTAGAATATCTGTTAGTTTCCTTAAGATCTATTCAACGATGATTCCAAATATGATCTATGGATAATAATTTTGGTATTAAAAAGTAAATACCCTGGAAGGACAATGAATTGACCAGTCGACAAGCATTAGTTCTGGGAATTATTCTTCTGAAGTTGTTTGATAATCCAATCAATCGACATAGATTGTAAAGGTTCTAAATCTTCGTTTTCCATTGTCAGCTCAAACCACTCTGGGCATATTTGAAAACACAAGTAACTCATATGTAAAGGATTCTGAATACCCTTATGATTACGTTGAGCTTCCGATAAATGTTTGAATAAGATATGATCCTGATAAATCATATTTTGAATAATTGATGATTCTTTCAGTTAATGAACTCTTCCAATAGTGATTCTAACTTCTGACATTATATCGGTAAATTGAAGATCCGTGTTTCTCTTCCTAATAAGATTACCCAATATCTCTGAATAATATATGTAAACACTAGTGTGTTCCCTAATCACATGAATGTTTTATCTGATTTTCGATTTGAATTATGTTCTGATACCTGACCTGGATCCTGTTCTGATTTCTGATCTGGATTCTGTTCTGATATATGATCTGAATTCTGTTTTGATTTCTAATATCTCTGTTAACTGACGAAAAAATGTATTATTTGGGGGGATATTATTCAAGGAAGTATATCTGTAGGCTCCTCTGCTTTTTGCTCAGGGCCAACCTGGCTGTGCGGTTGGGTGTATGGTTTTGGGGAACCTACACATTATGATGTGTAGCGGTTTGAGGGATATAAGGATTTTTGAATTTTTTTAAAAAATATGTTTTAAAAGATCTGTATCTTTTTACTAGTTTACGGGAACACACTAGATAACCTATTATGATCTCCTGAACTAAGTCATTCGAAATATTTATCTGAATTGAAAACTCATTGTCCGTTACCACCGAAAATATTAATAGGATTTCCGTTCAGCATAAAAATCTGTAGATGTTCCAAACCAAAAAGGAAATATATGTTTATCTGTATCTGCACGTTCTTCAGCATCATATGGTAGTTCTGTATTACTGAGCTTTCCAAAGCTCACTCTGTTACTCATCTTTACAAGTTAAAAGAATTCGACATCCGTAAAGAAGTTCTTCCGGCGTTGCTTGCAGAGAATGGTATATGCGATTAGGGGGCATGTAATTGTATTTTGTTCTATATACGAGTCTGAAAATCTGTTTTATTTCTGCATACTGATAAATCATTTTATAAGTTACATGTTTTAATAAAAGTTTTAAATTTTCCGCTATTTTTACAGTGGTTCGCTCTAGTGGTCCTAATGTGACACTCCAGATCGGATCGAGTTACCCGCATCAGTGTGAGGGGGTTACATAAGGAGAAATCAGAAGCTTGGAGCATGATTCTTTGACTCTTATCGCATTCTGCAACATATCAGTCAAGTGGCATATAAGCTAGAATTACCAGATTCCACGTGCATATATCCAATTTTTCATGTTTCTCAACTCAATCCATGCAAGGGTCACTCTATTCAACAAATTACACCTTTGTTGTTGATGATGGATGAGTTTCTCCCATCCACACCTTCTGCAAACCTTGAAGACAAAGTCCTTCTTTCAGGAGAGGGTAATGTCAGGGAAAGTGTGGAGTTAGCTGATGCAGGGAATAAGAGCATTGCCACAAAGGAAGTTGGCAACCAAGGAACGACCTCCAAGGACAACTGAATATTACGCAAAAGCTTGAGAGAAAAAGGACGCCCCAAGCCTTAACCGATTTTTCCGGTTCTAAGGAATCTAAGGATTAAAAATATAAATAAGAGAGCATGTGAAATGTGAAAAGGGAACTGTAATCCTGAAACATTTTACAAACTTTTTAATCTACTACCTATTCTCCTTTTTTATTCCTATTTTTCTTTTCCGGTTATTGGTACACAACACCTTGTCTCCCAAAATCTTTTCGCAAACCACTCCAATGTAGCGTTGACAGGATGTTGTTCACGAAGAGCGTTGCCCTTCATGTCCAACTCAAAAAAAAAATTCTCCTCTAATTGTTATGAGTTGTACGAGAAATACAATAAACCCAAGAAGATTTAATTTACTTGATTAGGTTCTAAACTATATTTTATTTTATGGCAAATGGATAGTTGATTTTGAGATGAAAGTTGTTCCAAGAATATTTAATTTACTTGATTAGGTTCTAAACTATAATTTATTTTTCTGGTAAATGGATAGTTGATTTTGAGATGAAAGTTTTTTCATGTTTTCATTTTTTCGTGGTCATGAACTCATGATACTCGAACATTGCACAACACACATCATCCCATCGGCGATTGATTGAGAGGGGTGATTGGATTCGAGTTTGGACTCGAATTTTGATTTTTAGGTCTGGATAGACTAGGTGAATTTTTTGTGTCGGTCTAAGAAGAGTTGGGTTTGATTTGGTTCAAGCCTATGTTTGAAAATGGATTCTAAACATGATTAAAATTGATGTCTACATTTATAATTAAAAGTAACTTTGAGTTGGGAAACGAGATTGAAAACTAAACCTTGATCCACAACTAGATATTCTAGTACATTTACACAAACAGTTCACACTTCTGACACACTAAAATTTCGTATCCCCTTAATGCATTTCACAACATGATCTGCAAACTTTCCTTAAGGTAAGCTACTTTGAGTTGAGGCATATTTGTTAATGAGAGTCAGGGCTTTACTCGTCAAATGTGCAATTTTAATAATCCTTTTTCTTACTGTAGTCTTTGCATATCCGTTCATGGACTTCCCAGAAAATCCATATATGCAAGTATCTTCATCTGTCAGCGCTGCACTAACCCAGGTCTGAATATCACTGATTGTGAGGGCAAAATTTGAGCTTGTAATTCGATCAAGTTCTCCTTTAGACTGTTGTAGCTCATCTACTGAGTCTCCGCTCACCTCGACGCAATCCGCCATGGCAGCAGATACCCTAGGCTTCAAACCATGGATTCTCGAGATCTTTACCATCAACCTCGAAGTTGATATACTGGCTTTGAGGGTCACGTTTAGGGCAGTATGGACTAACAATCTGGGGCTGGTGTTAATTCTGCTTGCGTAGATCGAGAGTGAGCGGTTGCACAATCTGGGATAAGTTGTGGAGCTGCATGAAGATCTGATGTACTCAATGTTTCTTTGGTTGTCAAATGGTGCATCAGCTGAGCTCAGCACTATGTAGGTGGTGAATTGAAGGATAACAAGCAGAACTAGAATTGCCTGTCCATGGCGTAAAGATGAACCTTCCATTTTCTCTCTTTTCTCTCTGATTTCAGAGATGTGAAAACACGGTTGATTTATAGACAAATTAAAAGTTGTAGTTCCCACGAGTCAAGAAGGAAAAGCATGATATTAAGGTGAATAATAAAATAAGGGATAAATTATAAATTTGGTAATTAAACATTACTCTCTTTTATTTTATTTACTGTATTTTTAAAATATTTTTAATTTCTTCATTAAATTTAATGCATTATATATTTTTGGTTACTCGGTCGTTTTCTCACTAATAAAGTTATAATTAGATTGTTATATAGATGTAAAACAATGATGTTTTAAATTTGATTTTTCTAAAAACGCATTATTTTAACGTCATTAACTATTTAACGATAAAGTAACAAAAAAAAAATTTTAATGTACTAAATTTAATGAGAAAATTAATTTTTTTTTAAATTTAATAAATAAAATAAGAGAATAAAATTTATTGACTAAATTTATAATTTACCCTAAAACAAGAAATGATGATGGGAAAACTGTCAAAATCAACACTATTTTACAATAGTAGAAAGTGATTACTTTGTCTAAGAATCACTGCAGCAGAACAACAATCGAATCTAGGAGAATGACTCGGAACCACTAAGAAAAGAGAAAATCGTCTCAGTGACCAAAAATGCCTTATAATATACGATTTTAACCAACTTTTTTTGGATTTGCCAAAATGACCAACAAAATCGCAACGCGAAATAAAAATCGCAACGCAATCCCCAGAATCGCAAATCAGTTTCCAAAATCGCAACGCGATTCTTGAAAATCGCAATGCGTTAGTACAAATTCGCATTGCGATTTTCAAGAATCGCAACGCGAATATGAAAATCGCAACGCGAACACATAAATCGCAACGCGTATCCGTAAACCGCAACGTGTATCCGTAAATAGCAACGCGTATCCGTAAATCGCAATGCGTATCCGTATATCGCAACGCGTATTCGTAAATCGCAACGATAATCCGTAAATCGTAACGAGAATCTGTAAATCGCAACGATAATCCGTAAATCGCAACGAGAATCTGTAAATCACAACACTGAAATTTTGGGTATATAACTACGCAACAGCAGCAAATCATAAACTAAATCCCTAAATCGCAACTCATTCCATCTCCATCTATCACTCTATCCGGCGACATCCGTTCCTATATCCAACGACATCCTTCCCAATCCGGCAACAGGTTTTAGTTTCGCAGCTCGTCTGTTTAGTAAATTAATTTACAACCATGAAATCATCTAATGTTGATCATGTTTGGATAGATTTGTGTTTTGGAGGGTCATGGGATAATGTTCATGGTGTTTTACAATATATGCCTTTACCCATGAATCTTCAACTAAAATTGTCTTTACAAAAGTTAACTTATGAAACTCTAATGCTACGTGTTTCAAATAAATTGAATTTAGAGCCCCTAAGTGGATTTAGGCTATCTTATCAGAGAAATGGTAAAGTTTATTTGTTAACCGACAATGAAGATGTTGAACGATTCATTGCTTACATTAGTGTTTCACAAGATGATGTTACATTGTATGTTGTTGAACCTAGAAGTAGTATTGTTGGGTCAGTAGCGGGTAGTAATCAACTAAGTTTTTCTCAAAACCCACAACCTTTCTCTAATCCAAATCCCAATCAACTTTCAGCACCAAATTCCGGTTTTCGTATTGACCAGTTAGACGATGATGAGCCAACAGAAAAAATTGTGAGTACTAGTCAGTATTCGAAATTTGGTCTTGGTCAATATCCGGACTTTGATATTGGTCAATACATGGATTTTGATGATGTTTCAGAAGAAGAAACAGACCCTACGTGTAATGATTTTGATATTGGTCAATACCCGAATTTTGATGATGAAACAGCCGTTGCCGAAGAATGTATTGTTGATGATAATGAGGAGGAAGTTACGACTGTGAATGAACATGTTGAACATCCATTCTGTAATTCATATAATCCTGAAGAAGAAAAAGAAGAAGAAAAAGTCCCCGAAGAAAAGAAAATGCCACGGGCGTATAACTGGAATATGCCAGAATTACTTCAGATACCGGAAGAAGAGTTGGTAAAGAAAGCAGTTGATTGTTACACAAAAGTTATTCGTATCAAGAAAGATGATTGTTTTGATACAAAGGAAGACTTGAAGATAGCTTTGTATACGAAATGTGTGGAAGATGGCTATCAACTAAAAGTTAACAAATCAAGCAAAGATCGTTTCGAAACAAGGTGTATGATTGACAAAAACTGTACGTGGCGTATGATTGCAAAGAGAATAAAAGATTGCGAAATGTTTCAAGTTAGGACTTTTATTGATAAACATACATGTTCAAGAACCCAAGTTTTTCCTCACCATAGACAGGCAAACAAAAAGGTGTTGGGTGGTTTTCTGGCTGAGTTAATGTTTTTGAATGGCAGGGTATATCGGGGACATGAAATTATGACTGACATGAATGCTCGGTTCAAGATTAGTATATCATATTCTCAAGCTTGGAGAGCCAAATGTTATGCCTTGGAATTGTTGAGGGGGTCACCAGAAGCATCGTTTGCCCAACTGCCGGCTTATTGTCACAATTTAAAGCTGAAAAATCTTGGGTCGGTAACTCATATCAAAACAGATAGAGATGGACACTTTGAGTTGCTGTTTATCGCCATTGGTGCTACGGTTAGTAAATCAATATAATTTTGTTGACTCATTTTTGTTAGTTACATGCATTTCACATTTAAATGATTATATTTCTTGTGTATATTATTTTGTAGATTCGTTCGTTTATTACTTGCATGCGCCCAGTTATTATAGTTGACGGAGCACATTTGAAAGGTCGATACCTTGGAGTAAACTTATTAGCAGTAGCCATGGATGCTAACAATGGGATATTGCCAATAGCTTACGGGGTTGGCAAATCTGAAACCTCTGATTCATGGACATGGTTTATGGGGCATCTTAGGGATTGCATAGGTCCTATTAGCAATCTGACAATCATATTCGATAGGGCAAACTCAATTGACAACGCTGTTAGAAGGTGTTTCCCAGATGCTTTTCATGGACTTTGTGGTGTTCATTTGTATAGAAATCTAAAATCAAGGTCTGCTGGTATAAAAAAGCACAAATGGACATACTGGAAGGCTGTAAAAGCTTATCGGGAAGTGGATTTCAATAAGCATATAAATTGTTTAAGACGTGTTTTGCCTCAGTGTGCTCAAACACTAGAAGATGTCGGGTTTGAAAGATGGTCAAGAGTACATCAACTTGGAGCAAGATATGGTTTCATGACGTCTAATAGTGCAGAATCAATCAACGCTCTAAGTCGTCATTCCCGGAAATTACCCATTACTATGTTAATGGAGTTTTTTCGAGCCTCTATTCAACAGTGGTACTACAAGAAAAGAAACCATGCAGGTATTATTTCTTTGAATTCGTAACTTATCATATTTATATATTTTACTAAGTATTGTTTATTTAAATTTACAGGAACATTGGAACATCGTGTTACACCATGGACTGAAAAAAAGATAACGAAACGTGTTGTGAAGTCAACGTCATTGTAGACACCCGTTTTTGTCCGGATTATAAATATTATATTAAAATTATATTATTATTATTATTAATATTATTATTAATGTTACATATTATTTTTTTTACAGGCTCAAGACCCATATTACAAATTTCCTATAACTCAAGCTCAACCCAGTGACCATTACCCCAGTTACCGGTTTCCATCAATGCATGAGCCAATCACCAAGCAAGTCACTGCCACCAATCATGCCATCCATTGAAGCTGATATAATGGAAAAACATAAGCAAAATCAATAAACAAATCAGTCACCAAGGTCAAAGAGATTTGACAAACCTTTACCTAAACCTTTGAAATGGAAATAAATCCCGAAAATTATGGGATTAAACGTACCTGCTTCAGCACTAATCCAACCAAGAAGGAAAAAGATGGATCGGAAGCAACCATAAAAGGAAGGGGGATCAATCATTGTGGGGGGTTTTTCTTTTCAGATAAAATAGGATTGTAACAACAATAATTTCTGATTGTATTTGAAAAGAATTCTGTAATAGAAATACAAATATTTTCGAGAAATTATTAGGGATTTCGATTTATTACTTTGAATAGAGAGAAGAGCTGATCCGGTTGAAGGGAAGAACTGCACTATAATCATCATCGGGGGTAAGCATCCAAATATTCCAATAATTCTTGTAGCCCTTAGCTCGTTGTATTGTTCGTCTTTAGGAATAGAATACATTCAACTGAAAAAGCCCAAGCATCATTGTTTTAGATTTCACAAGCTATAATGGTCATGGAAACCATTCGATTGAAATAAACACAGGAAAGTAAACCCATAACTGTTTTAAAAGATAACCTGAAGCAAATAGTGGAGTGTGCCTAATATTTTACCTCTTTTCTTAGGTAACCGATTGAATTTGTTCTATTGTATTTGAAACCTTTAAATTTTTGGTTTGGTTCCTTGGAGAACGATTTAGGGATAGAAATGCATGTGATTTTCTAGGCGTTAAGGGTTAGTTTTATCCTAGGATTTAAAATAAAATTACAGAGGAAGAGAAGAGGATTATAGCCATCTTACCTTAGTTATTTTGCAATTAGTTGTATTTCTAGTATTCATTGGTCGGATCCGAGCGTGTATGTAGAGTGGAGGGTCACAATGAGCATGGTCGTCGAATGGATTTTTTAGGGGGCTTGCTGTTTGTAATAGAGGAGTCATGAAAAAGAGATCGGGCGTTGGGAAGGTCCTGGTTATTTTGTTGTCGTGGTAATTGGTCCTCCGATCAGAGTGGTCTCGGTGGCTACTCAATTTCAATGATGTGATGAAGTGAAGAGAGAAGATAGAGAGTAAAGAAAGAAGAGAATGGGAGATGGGAAGTAGATAGAAACGGCGCAAGGAGAATAGGGGGTCTCTAAATGTGCTTAGGTTTTAATTAAAAATAAACAAATCCATGGGACAGGCCTTACAACGTGATAGATTGGAAAAGTCTAAATTTGGGGAAGTGTGGGATAATTGCACGTGAAA